CAAGATAGAAAATACTGAATTCTTTCAATAACCTTAAGCAATTATCTTTTGGGGATTCTGGTTCTTCAAATGCTAAACAGCTCAGCGGTGATCAAGTGTAAAGGAGATTCTATCAAAAAAAAGATCATCAGAGAAAAAACCCAAAGGAGATTTTGCTTTCAGAAGTTTTGTTTTTTTACCATAGTAATGATGAATGGCTTTCCTGTGATACAGATATTGGACAATTACTCAACAGCTAGCTCACCATACTGTCAATGGCTGTAACCTAAGGCCTGGGGACATGTTTGGAACTGGAACTATCAGCGGACCAGTAAGATTTACTAGTTGGCTGCATGATGCCTCTAGAGTTGCTCAGTCCAATTTTCCTTGTCGACTTGTTTTTTTGACTTGTCATCTTGCTGTTTTTACTGATGACGTAATTCGTCCATCCATCTCTGCTTCTAGGAACCAGAATCTTATGGATGCTTGCTTGAACTAACATGGAATGGACAAAAGCCTTTGTCTTTAGGTGGAACTACCCGTACATTCTTAGAAGATGGAGATGAAGTAACTTTCTTTGGTTATTGTCAGGTTTGCATCTGGATGCCTTTTCTTACCAGTTCTGCACTTGTACCTCGTTTGCCTTATTGATGTCATACACGTTCATTTACGAGCGCTCGGGGAAGATAACACAGGAATTTTCTCTCCAGGGTCTAAAAGAAACATGATTAGTATTTCACTTAGTAAAGATTAAAGTGGAAAACTACCACATATTTAGATTTTCTGATTTAAAAATGATTTTTGAAAATCTGCTTGGTGGAATTTGGTTTACTGTAATAGGATGATTACTTTCATTTTATCGTCATTTGTTGCTTTTGGGAGATTTGGTTGTCTAAGCTCTATTGCCGTGTTACCTATAATCTGTTATCGTCGTTATTGTACAAATGCTATCTGAAACAAAACCCTGCAAAAGTTGTTGAACAATGAAAATAGCCGATGTAGCTCAAGCAAATTTCTTGGTCAAAGTAAGCTATTGTCGGGTAACTGATACTCGATATGTCTGGTGACATTTCACATGAAGAAATCTTAATTGACACGGTGACATTGAAGTCATTGGACCTTGTTTTTTGCATTCCTCCCTCATCAAAGTGGTGCATTTGCTGTTACCCGTATGTTGGTCTGATACTAGTTGATTTTCGATATATTTATCAGGGCGATGGATACAAAATTGGTTTCGGAAGATGCTCAGGGAAAATTGTCCCGTCTCCGCTCTGAGTGTGAATGGTTACATTGTTCAGCCCATGAGCAATTTTGAAATGTATACAACAATTCAAGGCTGCTTTGGTTTCTGATCAAAATAAGTAAAGTAGTAGAGTCAGAAGAATTGGAGTTACAATCTAGGCTGGGCCTAGAGTAAGTGCATTCTGTATTATACATTGATGAACTACAAACAAAATCCAGTTGTATTTTTTTTAATTTTTAGGAGCTCGAACTCGAGATATCTTATTAAAGGGCGAAGGAATCTCACCCACCCATCCTATTATTACAATCCATGTTGGTAAAACTTAATAGCTTAAAGAAGTTGAATACTCTATTATGTCTCTCAAATTTATAGAATTTGTTCAACAATAAGTGGACTCATTGTTTAAAGATGATTTATGATGTAAGGTAACCTAAAGTTCTTAATGGATTTTTTTGTTACATTTAAGTGTTCAAAATATGTAGATAAAGAATATGGTTGAGGTAGGCTTGACTCATGAATTCTCGAGTAATATAAGATTTTGCTTTGCTTGCATGCAAAGAGCTCAATATAGCAGTTGAAGACATATTAACACTTGGTGGGGCTTTATAGCTTTCTACACCTTATTTTTTTTTATATTTTGTGAATAATAAAGAAATATATGAATGTATGTATGTGATAGAATTAGGCTACCAACTTGATAGTTAACCTTCCAATAATTTCTTCAAACTTGCAATTTTTTCATCTTGTCAAAATAAGATTTGACTATTTTACCCCTACGTTATGATACGTCAACTACTATTATTTTTTCCTTTAAAGGTCTAAAATGCCCTTGCCTCTTTTCTATCTGATATTAGTTCAATAATATAATTTGCAACCTTCGGAATTCAGTTTATATTACTCTGATTTATTTTCCCATTTAGAAAAAATCGAAAAAAACATAGTTAATTAGAATTGTGGAAATAAGGAAAAATTGTAACACATTTTTATTTATAAATTTAATAAAAATTACACGTTATAAAGAGGTTCTACACTGTTAAATTTGCTTTCAGCTCCTCGAAGATTCAATAACAATAATCTGTCTACTGACTATATAAAAATGTGTGTGTTCTATTGCTATATATAACTTAAAGTGTTAATGAGAATGAAGTTTCAAACTATACTTTAACATGAGAAACATTAACACAAAAAATAAAAATAAGATTAATGAGCAAAAAAAAATAAATTAATTGTCATGAGTTAATTTTAATAGAGCAATGCATTTAAACCATCTTAATTAATTGTAAAGCCTATATTAAAATATCGGTTTCTTATTTTGCTTAATTAAGGAAGCCTTAAGGTTATAAATGTAATAGCATTAATAAATAGTTCATATGAACCATGCATATATTTGTTGCTTATATATAAAACCAAAGATAGGTAACGTTTCATTTTCTCTTCATTCCATCTTATACAAAATAAAATATTATAAAATCTTTCTTTGATACAAAGTTTTCTTTATTTTTTTTTTCATTTTAACAACAACAATAGCAACACAAAGATCATGAATTTTTTCTTCATGAATAAAATTGTGAAGAAAAAAATGATGTTTGTGTTTTTTTTCTTTTCATTTTTTCTTCTTAAAACTTTGGGTATAGAGAGTGGAGTTTCTATAGTTGAATCAATTTATATGAGAGATGATGTGATAAAAATGGCTGGTTATGGAGAAGAAAAGCTTTCCACTGTTTTTATTCATGGAAAAATTGTTTGTCATGAGTATGATGATCATGGTTGTAACAATATTATTATCAAGGATGATAATTTTCAACTTGAATCGACACCTATCCAAGGTACATATGATAATTATTTGTCGCTAATCTGTTGCTAAATAACTCACAACAACTATTATGTTTATTTTAGATATATTTGAATGTTTTTGATAATTTGTTATATATTATTTAGCTATAAAATTATTCTGTCTCTCAAAAATAATTTTTATGTCCTCACAAGATGAAGATAAAATTGCATACACACCATCCTCTTCAGATACTCACTTGTGAAAATTTAGAGAATATGTGTTATTGTTGTTTTTTTAAACTAAAAAAGTATTGAAAGTCTTTATAATTAAAAAACTGTCTTAATAGTGTAGATCCTTTATTTATAACGATTTGAAACTCACAATTACTTAATTTAAATTTGTATCACATAAACATAATTATAGGTTCTCTAATTTGTTTGAAACTAAACCATTATTTTTTATAAAAATGAAAATCCGATTTTACGTGAATTTTATAGTATTAGCTAGTTTATGTAGTTTTGACTAGTTAAATTGCAAATGGATAATAAGATGAAATTAAACGTCCTAAGATATACAGAAGTTAATTTGTGTTGTTAAGCCTAAAGTTAATTAATATTAACTCAAGTTTAATGTTAAACTTGATCCTTAAATGGAATTAGGATACATTTAATTTAGAAGCGTTTCTAATTCTTTTAATAGTTACTATATGAGATAGTTTATTTATTAAAAAAAGAAAAAAAGTTAAAAGAAAACAGAAAAGAGAAAAAAAAAAGTATTTTTTAAGAAAAAGTAAGATTGAATATTAAATTATGAAAACTTGATGGACCTGTTTGTATATTAATAAAGATATGTTTCTTTCATTGAACACCACCAAATTTCTGTTCTACCAAAATGATGGTGTTATTGGAACCAAAAGCTGGTAAATTAACATAAAATTATAAACTCACTAAATTCGTTGCATTTATTTGAAAATATGGGTCTTAATTTTAATATAATAAAGTCTGAGTAATTTGGAATTGAGATACAGTTGATTTGATTCATATCAGAACATCCAAGTAAGTTAAAATTGAGGTATAGTTAATTTACTCGTATAGTAAAATTCAAATAATTTGAAATTGAGGTCTAGTTAATTGACCGATGTACAAAGCTCAAAAAACAGTTGGACCGTAAGAGTCTACTGTACGCAGTCTTATCCTGCATTTTTGCAAGAGGTTATTTCCACAACTCGAACTCTTGACCTCCTGATCACATGTCAACAACTTTACTAGTTATGCCAAAAGACTATTTTTCGCAGTTCAAGCCCATGACCTCCTGGTCAAAACGTAAACAAAACTTTACCATTTACGCTAAGGTTCTTTTTCACTACTAATGTGACAACAAATTTCAGGTGCATCAGTAGGTGTGTTCTGTGGATCAAGTGGAAAAACAAGGAGGTCATGGGCAAGAAACACTACAGATGAAGATGGAGATTTCCTTATTGACCTTCCTTCTCATCTTCATGCTATTCCAAACTTGGAAAAAACATGTCTTGTTAAAGTCCTTCGTCTGCCAAGAAACACCATTTGTGAACATGCTTTTACAGGGAAGCACAAAGGTCTCGAGCTAATTTCGATTGGTGGAGGCATCCGAACTTACACAATACAAACAATTCATCTGACCCCTAAAGTTACACAAAGGTGCAGAACAAAAGTTGTCATGTGATCAGGAGGCGAAAAGTTTAGCACGTCCAATAACTCAAATATGTTGGCGCTTTGATCAGTCACAAACATTGAGTTGTTGGATGAAGCTTGAAACATAACCCTGTTTTAGCCCACAATCTGTCGTTTGCTTCCTCCCACGACGAGTTTATGAGTGTGTGTGTGTGAGAGAGAGAGAGAGAGAGATGTAAATATAAGGTTTCTTCATTCTTGCATGAATGATGTGTAACAGGCACATGTATTTCCACTGAGCCTTTCATAGCCACACCAGATGCACAAACTTTGAATATTAAAGTAACAGTATAAATTGTATTCACTGCAGAATCAATAACTAAAATCTGGGGTGCATAAATGTAGCAATCATTCACACAGATCCACGAAAAACTAAAAGATGCGCTTAAAGAAGTTAAAGGACGATGTGATCCTGGGATTCAACAGCTTATCAGACAAAAGAAACACTATCTAGGAGAATGTTCCAAAAAAACCTTTGTCTATTCTGATGACGTGACATCCTCTCCTTGAGATAACTAATAAGTTACTCTAGGAGCTCTCCTGAGCTTTCTTCTCAGCTCCAGAAATGATATACTGAGCAACATCGGCACAACATTTAAGCTTGTCTGCCTCTTCGTCAGGTATCTCAATCGAGAATTCTTGTTCAAAAGCCATGACAAGTTCCACTCTATCTAAGCTGTCTAGGCTCAAGTCCTTCTGGAAATCAGCACTCTCAGTGACCTATAAAAAGATTTAGGATTCAGCTGTAATATCCACTAATTGACTCAATTTCAGCCACAACATGTGTTAAATTGATATAGACCATCAGCAGAGACATATCCAGAATTTAACTTTAACCGGCTTCAACTTTCAAGGATCTTAGCATTGAATCATTACTCCCTCCATTTCAATTTGTTTGTCTAGTTTTAACTTGGCATGGAGTTACAGAAAGTAAAGAAGACTTTTGAATCTCATGGTCTTAAACTAAAGATATGTAGTATGTACCAAAATGTCTTTTAATCTTGTGGTCTTAAACATGCCATATGAAAAACTGAAACTAACGAGTTGCCAAAATAGGGAAAAAGATATTTGTAAACGAACAAATTGAAACAGTGGGAGTACTTATCTTGTTGCAGTTTTATTAATCTTTACACATAAACTTATGTTCCGCATCAGAAGTACAAAAAATGGATGAATCACACCTTGGTTGCATCAATCTTGTCAAATTTCTTCACCAGGTTAAGCACTTGTTCCTTTATCTGATCCTGATCGGTGGAACCAGAATTGCTACAGGTGCGTATTTGCAAATTGAGAATATTTAACGCACTCCGGCCTTCAACTTGAGATGATAATACTTGTTTTGGGACCTTAACCTGTACATACTTCAGAATAGATGATCTCAAGCTTTGCATTTTGAACCTACAACAAGACGTCTATGTATTAGCACGTGCAAAAGCAGTTTAAAGAGGTAGAAGATGCAAAAGAAAACAAGGCAAAGAGAAGTAGAAAGTCCTAAAGATAAGGCATACATGTACTAACAGCAAGATAAGCCATTTTTTCCCCACATTTCCTGTTTCATATCTATGTATTGGAAGATTCACCAAGATAAGTTGGTCAAGTGAATAGAGAATCTGCTAACTCTTAATAGCAATTACATAATTATAAGTGACAAATAGAGGCTGTAATTCTATGACATGCAAAACTGTCAGCAAGTTTGTTTAACAGGTATGTACTTCATCGAATCAAATTTCTGAACAGGAGAAGCAACCTAAATTAGCACCCTTGACATTCGGCCTATAATCACATGTCGTACTCTAATTATATTAAAGCGAGCATGCTTATTTTCCACAGCCAATGCTCACATGTCTACCGTATTGCCACACTTAACATGCTTTTGCTCCACAAATATATGATCTATCATATAAGCAAAAGTCTTACTACTTGTTTCAAACTTGAATGCCTAATGAGATTTTTCCTGCTGAAAATTTAATTCCCTTGCTCCAGGAAATGATGTTGTTCTTGCCTTCAGTGGTAAAAGCAACATTTACTATACGGGCTCACGGAACCAGTAGCTTTTCCCACAGACCCTATATACTGTATGTATTAAGAAATCCACCAATTATCTACAAAATAATTGACTGTGAACCTAGTTATTATTATTGTATATTTACTTCACGTTGAGGGAACCCATAAAAATATGAATCATAGATCTGCTTTTGCTGACAATGAATGTCCTAACACCTTAATATTCCAACTTTCACATCCTCAACCCATTAAACTAATCTCAAATTTGCCTATGAATCAGAAGAAAAATTCAGAACTATAAACGAGATCGTATAAGCCTAGCCAGCAGTCATCTGATACCGGAAGAAGTGGCTATGGTAAAAGTGCTTTCCAATCCATCACATCATCCCATCCTCCTAACGATATTTTGCAAGGAGCTTTACAAAGCCATTCAATGGTCTATTTATATATACCAAAACTAATTTCCTAAAAGAAAGGAGCATAATGCTAAGTAAAAACAAGTGAAACTGCTACTCAATCCATAACCACTACATAAGTTATGAAGATTATTTATCAAATTATACATCAACAGCCAAGCTCCAATTTTAATAGGGTATCAAAATCGTCTTGTGATGCTTTCAAAATCCATATGAAAGAATCAAAGTCAAGATGATAACTTTCTTTATTTCGAAACAATTTAACTTAAAATGATAGCCATACAAAATGTCTATGAATTGTTATAGAGCATAAGTTTAAGAAGTGTTTCTTTCTTAAGCTCCATACACAGTCAAACACCAACACATAAAATGGGAATGGAGGGATCAATAAAAATGATAACTTTCATAAGTTCATAACACCCATTGAAAAGAACAACTCAAAATGTTAACTTTATAACACCCATTACATACCAAAGTACCAAACTCTAAATGATTATTTGAATAACACCCATTAAAGATAACAACTTGAAGTACTGATTCACACAATATATCTATATAAGTTTGACAAGTGTTCCTTTCTTAAATTCCATGCACAGTCAAACCCCGTCACATAAAATTGGAATAAGGGAGCATCAAAAATCAAAGAACCAAAACACACATTGGCACAAAGCATTCCTCGTTAGCAAGGTCTGGGGAAAGGCCCCGCACCCCAAGGGGTGTGAGGTACATAGTCTACTAAGGGCACCATTAGTAACTCCTTTCACAGCTCGAACCCGTGACTACAGGTCACACGTAGACAACTTTATTGTTACTCTAAGACTCCCCTTCACACCCATTGACAAAAATACTCAAAAATGTTAAACTTCATTACACCCATTAACAAAAATTCTCAAAAATGTCAACTTTATACCACCCATTAACAAAAAAATTCAAAAAACTTTACTTTATAACACCCATTATATCCCAAAGCACCAAACTCCATATGTTTATTTCTACAACACACATTAAAGATTACAACTTGAAGTAATGATTCACCTTTTTTTTTAAACTTGTTAGACAGAATGATAAATTATATACAGATATATGGTAAGGAACAAGAAACAAAATAGCTGAGAGAAATAGCAGAAAAACTTACCAATTTTACTTTGTTTTCTTAGATTCTCTGATTCTTTATGGACTGTTTGCTTAAGATTACTATCTGTTTGATGAATTGCCTCAAAGAGATAAATTTGCAGTGATAGTTCTGGGCCTGGATAATAAAAAATATGGGCCTCAAGTACATAACCCTCTATCAAAATAATAGCGAATAATATAAAAATATAGTATATGTTATATTATTTGTATATATAAATTAAATTCCCATCAACTATAGTTGTAAATCGTAACAAACAACCCTTTTTCTAATAGAGTGATAGGCAAAAAGTTATATTGACACTAATAATTCTAAAATTATTTGCCATTTTGTTGTCTCTCTTCTTTGTCCCTTAGCTATGGAGCCGCGGAGCTAGAGTATCACCTAACATGTTTGATTGATAAGATTATATTATTTTTATATATAAAATAACAATAACATATTTGGATGGAGTATCGTGTATCAAGTAATTGAAATGTATACACATATATTAAATTTATTTTTATGGAATAAATAAGTTATTTTTAAATAAACGTTCGACTAAAAAAATCATGTTATTAGAATGGCAGGGAGAATGAATAATAATAATAATAAAAAATATCAAGCAAATTAGAACAATACATAGCAAAAAACATTGGAGAAAAAAGAAATTATGTGATTACTAATTAATAATACTAATAAAAACAAAATGACATGAGTTTTTTTTTTTTAATAGAAATATTAAATTCTCAAACTTCTTTATGTGTTTACTTCTATTCGATCACTTGCTTTTTGTTTCTTCTTCGGACTATGATTTATACATATGACCTCGAAACACATTAATACGAAGTATATAATGCTACCGGATGAGTTGTATTGAATATGTTTAATCAAAAATTTTATTAATATATAGAGCAAAAATAAATTTCTCTATCATATATAAATTGATATTTCTTGAATCAAGAGAAAGAAAATAAATATATAATTATAGTAATGTATGACATCCAACGCTGATTATTAAAGGCGAAGTCAAGATTTGAGGTTTATAAGATCTGAATTGATATTTCTTAAATGAAGAGAAAGAAAATAAATATATAATTATAGTAATGTATGACATTCAACGCTGGTTATTAAAGGCGAAGTCAAGATTTGAAGTTTATAAGATCTGAATTGATATTTCTTGAATCAAGAAAAAGAAAATAAGTATATAATTATAGTACTGTATGACATCCAACGCTGATAACTAAAGGCGAAATCAAAATTTGAAGTTTATAGGATCTGAACTGTCACCGAATGATGATTTAATCTTGTAAAATGATCTAATCAAACCTGCTAGCAAATTTAGAAATAAAGTGTGTTGTGTAGGTGGAAGGAAAATGAGGTCAAGACTTGAGACAAACACATTTGTAAACCAAAGTCTGAATAAGACACTAAATCACACGTTTCATAAAATTTGTAATCTTCTCTATTTTGGAAAAAGTTGCCAAACCTTATTACATAAGATTTTATTATGTGACAAAAATAAATGAGGTGAGGAAAAAAGAGAGGATATAAATCTATTTCATATACTAAAAGGATAAATTTTTTATACATTATATATAAAACTTGACCATAAATTAGAGGATAGTAAATCAAATTATTGAGATTTATTGAATTTATAAGTGAAAATATTTTATTTTTACGTATTATCGTTTTAATTTGAGATTTTAAATGAAAATTGTCTATAGTAGAAAAAAATATCACAAAAATTGAACATTTTTAATATATAAATTTAAATTAATCAGACCAGACCTCAAGAAAATATCGATATACTAAATTAGATTTTTCTTAAAAAAAGACTACTTTCTCCTCAAGAAATAAACAAAGAGATTTTTTCTTTGAGGCATAATTATCAACCATAACAGTGAAATAATTATCAAACGAAATATCAATTTTTTAACGATATAATAAATTACTCTCGATAACAATTCATTTGATACTAGTGAGACAAAGTTATTATCAAATGATATATCAATTCACTCTATACCATTATATTAATCTTTATAGTTTTGCTATAGAAATCGAATTTCAAAAAACTATCGATACGTTTGATAAATATATAGTGTATAAAGTTTGTTTTCGAAAATAAAATTACTCCAAAAATTACGTCGGTGGGAGATTAAAATAAAGCCTTTTTTTTTATATATATATATAACTAACATTTGACACTAAATAAACCAACAAAAGTTCCCAAATGGACACACAATGGAGATGGAGAGACAAAAAACTATATCCAGCCTTTGGCATTTTCACAATTTTTTTTCTTTTGTATTTGAGTTTCAATGACAATTTTAATTTTAATTTCAATTTCCCACAAATCTTTGTAACACAACCTTATATGGGTTTTGTTGGGGTTAATGAAACTAGATTTTTCATCAAGAATGAAAATCCAAAGACTCAATCTTTATCATTTAAAGATTTGTATATTAATGGTTGGAATTCTTATTGGTTAATGGAGGAAAGTGTTTGGGTATCTTCAAGATTTAGGGTTTCTAAGATGTTGAAAAGAGGAGCTGAAATGGGGTTAAGTGTTTGTAGGACTTGGGCTTTTAGTGATGGTGGTGGACCTAATGATCTTCAGCTACTTCCAGGAGTCTTCAATGAAAGAGTCTTTAAGGTAGTACTACTAAAGATTTTGCTAATTTTTCTATTGTTTTGGGGGTTTTGTTTGATTTTGTAGCATAATTGAGCTGAGGATATATCGGAAACAAACTCTGTGCCTCTGAGGTTTTGCGTATACTTTATCCTCCCTGACATTACTTTGTGGAATTTTACTGAGTATGTTTGTTTTTTGTAGCACTTGTTTGGATTGTTGAAGTACTTATAGACTCTACATTGCTCGGATTTTTCAAAAATGTTGTTTGCGTTTGTGTTGGATACTTCAAAAATGAACTTACTTTTAGAGGATCCGACACGCATCCGTCAACATTTTTGAAGAGTTTGAGCAACATAACTTGTACTCAGTTCGTTTCAATTTGATTGTTTGGTTTTGAATTGACGTGGAGTTTACGAAAGTAATAGAAGTGTTTCATTGGGTATGTTGTTTTTTTTGTAGCAATAATTGGGATTACTGAAGTACTTATAGACTATGTTGCTCGGAGTTTTCAAAAATGGTGTTTGCACTCGTGTTGGATACTCCAAAATGCACTTACTTTTGGAGGATCCAACATGTGTCCATCAACAATTTTGAAGAGTTTGAGCAACATAACTTATGCTCCCTCCTTTTCAGTTTGATTGTCTGGTTTTTTATTTAACGTGGAGTTTTAAGAAAGTAAAAGAAAGAGTTTTGAATCTTGCGGTCTTAAACTAAATATATATAAAATGTGCTAAAATGTAATTTGATCTTGTGGTCTTAAACATGTTAAGGTGGAAAGTTGGAACAAAAGAGTTGCTGAAAATGGGAAAGAGACGATTTTTTTTTTTTGAAATCGACTAAAAAGGATAGTAAGACAAATAATTTGAAAGGAAGGGAGTAGTAACTCGTTGAACACTTCGAGAAGTTGTTTCTTAATTCACAAAAAATGAGAATCATTTGCCAGTTTCTAATTTCGCTGTGTTTTTGGTGTGATGTTGATTTATTTCTCTTGAAACAGAGATGATTTTATTTGTTAATAGAAGTTTAGTGAAAATAGAAGGTAAAGTTTGAGTCTTTGTATAATTCTTAGGCGTATTAAACTTAAATATTGTGCTTTACAATTGGTAGTATAACTTAATTTGTATGATAAGTGCATAAATCAACTAGTAATCAAGGTGGCGGCCAATGAAGTGGGATGAAAATCACAGGAGAGCAGAGAATGCTAGGTGATTTTTTCGTGTCTACCAAAACCTGGTAAGATGGAATAACTCACTACCAGTTTCAAGGTACCCATAGAATAGTCGAGATACGTATTCATGAGTTCTGAGTACCTACTGCTATACTGAAGATCCAAGCAATTTAGTTTTGTGTGGAGAGTGGATTGCACCTAGATGGATGAAGATACAAATTTTATGTAGTATTTGTTCAAAAATTCATTATATAATCGATCTAACACCATAAGAACTAAGCAGAAAGTAGCAATAGAAACCACAGAGTAGTAGACCACCAGTAGATAGAAATAGATATAATAGTGCGCATATGCAATTCCTAACGATTATCTTGTCGATGTATCTGCAAGCATACATTCACACAAGTCTGTTCATCTTACTAGACTATTACGAACTATTGTTCAGGGCCTTGCTAAGTCCTGCAATTTTATACCACATGGTATTAATAAATTTCTACCTTTTCCCCTCATTTTGATATAATCTTATCATCCTATCAATTTCAGGGATTAGATTTTGTCATTGTTGAGGCAAGGAAGCATAACATTCGATTAATCCTCAGTCTTGTAAACAATTTAAAAGCATATGGTGGCACTGCTCAATATATGAGGTGGGCGCGAGAAGCTGGTACCAATGTGTCATCATCAAGAGATGCATTCTTTACCAATCCAACGGTCAAAGCATACTACAAGTCTTTTGTCAAGGTATGTTCAAATTAAGCAAACTTAACAAATGTCAATGCTAATTGAATACACTTTGAAGTAGCTTTTCCCATTAAGCAATTTCTTTCTATTTACTTTCACGTGACGAACTATAAACACATCCTAATTTTTTTTCCTTGGTGCCCATGGAAGGCAATTGTGACAAGAAAAAACTCTTTAAGTGGAGTTAAATATTCAGAAGAACCGGCTATATTTGCGTGGGAACTCATAAATGAGCCTCGTTGTGAATCCAGTTCATCAGCTGCTGCTCTGCAGGTTAGTTTTCCAAATTATACTGGTTGCTAGTGAGATTTTGGTTTCTCAATGACACTAGAAAAATGACGATTTGAAGCAAGGAAAATAAAGCATCTGGCATAGATCACTTGTGATTTTGTTTGTGTAAGTTAGTTTGCATATCAATAGTTCTAGTACATAAAGCAGTTTTTACTCATCCTGTAGCACCTATGGGCAAACCTCTCTATAACTTCATTGTTTGTCCAGGCATTTTCTTGGCTGTTGTAATGCTGTTATTATAGAGAACAGAAAACATAACATAACATGAAAAAATGGGTTCTGAAGAAAAATTTGGCCATTATAGTGAAGTGTTGTTATGAAGGATGATTGTTATATAGAGGTCTGGTTGTAGTACCTGCTTTCTTTAGCTTCAATGGTAATTTCGTGAACAGGTGTGGATAGCAGAGATGGCTGGATTTGTCAAAAGTTTGGATCAGAAGCATCTCGTGACCATTGGACTAGAGGGCTTTTATGGTGCGGAGAAAACTGAAAACGTTGGATTGAACCCAGGGAAATGGGCTGAATCACTTGGAGTGGACTTCATTGAGAACTCGGCTATTGAAAACATTGATTTTACTTCCGTTCATGCATACCCCCACAGTTGGTTAGTCAAGCAGAGTAAATTTATTCCAAATCAGATACATTTTTATAGTAGCATATGTAGAATTTAAGCTCATATGTGTTTATCACTGCCTTTCTCGACTATGTTAAAAGAAAATGTTAACTTGCAGGATCAAAGGTGGTATAAATTCAGATGCGAGATTAGATTTTCTATCTCATTGGGTTGATTCTCACATTAGTGAAGCTGAAAAGATCCTTAAGAAGCCTGTTCTCTTCACAGAAGTTGGTTTTCCTTCGAGTATACAAAAGAATGGATTATACGACAGAAATATTTTTCTAAAAATAGTTTATGAAAAGATTTACGAGTCAGCAAAGAAGAAGAAAGCTGGTGCAGGAGCCTTGGTTTGGCAGCTATTAGTGGAAGGAATGGAACGATATGGTGACCAGTTCTCGTTTATTGCCTGGAAGCATCCCTCTACCTATAAACTGATGGTAGAACAATCCTGCAGGCTACTCAACATATCTTCTCAAGGCCTCACAGACAAAAAACTCAATCAAAAGAATCATTGTTCAGCTAATGCATCTTAAATATGAAATGTTTCCTATTCATTCATCTTCCTCGAGAAGACGGACATTATAGGAGAAACAATGTAATGTACTTCGGCTGAACATCTTCCAGATCTTAGAAATGAGCCAAACAGAGAGTTTGGAGTGATTTGAAGTTGTGATATTGCTCGAGGACATGTAAGAAGCTTCAGCTCAATGAGTGCAAGAACCAGATTTTTTTCTTTAGTACAGGCGTGAATTCGAAATTCTGTTGGTGTATATTTATAATCTCAGTTGTACATATACATTACAATTACAAGAGTAATAGCAATGTGAGTGGTTTGTTCATTTTCAATGAAATAATAAGATATTGACCAGAATCTTATGGTTTGTTTTTCTTGGTTTAGCAATATTGTTATTATGCATCAGTACCAGTGGAAAAGATGCAAAGTTATTAGAAAGGTGAAAGGCTTACACAATTCTAAAGCTAAAGCAAATCCAAAACAAAAGGGATGCATACAAAGAGAGAGATCAATTAGTTGGCCTCATTGCATTTGTATGGTTTCTACGGCTGGAGTTGTAACGCGAGTTCTAAGAGAATACGAGTGAGAGAGCCAGTAAAAAGAAAGTATGAATAGACAACTTTTACGCGAAACAAGCTGATAAAAAATCCAACGATTCACTACCATATAGAGTAGAACATAGAGTTATAACTTACAACAATCTGCATGGGATTGTATTTGTAATTCATCCTACATGCAGATCAATATTTCTGCTCAACCCAAGGTACACTCTTTATATATGTGAACTGACTAGCCAAAATTTGCACTGCCATCGTCATGGAGATTACCCAATGGGTAGATGACAGTGTACAACTAAAGAATAAGCATTATAGCTAACAATCTGATGTAACATATATATGGCCTATGGGGGGAGGAAATGGCTCTAACAAAAGCAACTTTTGTGCGAGTAAGGTTACAAAATTTCACTTGGCTAGAAGCTTACATGAACATCTTGTTGATTATTTCTTGATATTCATAGAGCTCAGACCTCCTTCAGTTTTAAACTTTAAAATAGCCTTTTCAAATGTTTCTCTTACATTCTCGCAGATAAGCATTAGATCCTGACATGAATCGTTCAATAACTCCCTTGCTGGATCTCCTGAAATAGAAGCCAGATATACCAAAACTCAAACAGAGGTCCACAACATTTCACAGAAGAACTGTATAAACATATGGAAGCATTAAAAAAAAAGAAGACAATTAGCGATTCGCTATTTCCAGGCGGTCGTATCAGTACAACAGGTTATGCATGCTGTATCAATCTCTAATTGAAAAATAAAATATCTTTATTGTTCCTTCTAACCGAAAACATCAAAAAGGAAAACTTCATATGGAGAAACATTGCTACACATTAACTCTCTAGTGGAATGGGCTTCTAGGAATTATGTTTGGTCGTTAGTGTACATCAGAATAATGACATACCTTCTTAACTGGAAATACCGCGCAAGGATATCTCTGTTTTCTTAGACTTCACAAGGAGAGAATAGTCCACTTGGTCGGAAGAGGAGAAATTTTGCAATTAGGTAGCAAGTGTAAGCATGCGGAAGCAGGATACCAATTTGAACATCAAATTTTTAAAAAGTTCATAAAAGAACAGAAAATCCAGTAGACGAATGACCCTTGCATCGCTATTGCTAGAGAAGCATTTAAGCCTTTCTTTTATAAGTTAGAGAAATCATTGATAAAGATAAGTTGATGAAAGTTTTTAGCTTTACCAGTAGTCTGAACTCTTACGTTCACTCGTGCATCAGAGGGATGTGGAATGCTGTATCCACAAAATGTTACTCGTGGACTGCAAAAAAGTGGATATCAGTTAATCATATCATCTTAAGCTTGTTGAACAAAAGCGCTGCTTAAAAAAAAGGGGTGTGAGATGGGGGGCTTGAAGACTGAACATGCAAAAACAAGATTAACATGAGATCAGAGGAATGTTACATAACGAAATATCACTAAACTTCAAACAAAATTCTGTAATTGTAACGAGGAAATAAAGCAAAGACTGAAAGTATTAGCAGTGATGAAGAGGTGAACAACTAACTCTTGATTTAGAGTGAATCTGACAGCATTTGCTAGTGTATGGTCCTCATCTGTCAACGAGAACGTTGCTTTCGATTGATCTTCAAATGAACCGTGTTCCATTGACTGTTCACATAAAGGATATCATTTGAAAAATAATTACCACATCTTCATAATTCGGGATATTTTTTGAAATTTATGGATCTTAAGAACAAATCATTACTGTACTACTATAAGAAAGCAGTCAAATCAAGAAGGACCTTAACAATACAGTCCAATGTTTTAAACGACCAAAGGATGAACAACTATGAATGTTCAACTAATCGAAGGCTATATTCGTCGAACTTCCCCAAAAATGTTGAGGCACCCGTGCCAAATCCTTCAAAAATGTACTACTGTCGGAGGACAACATTTTTAAAGAGTTCGAGCAGCACATGTCAGAGGCAATGCTCTTCGAGCTTTCATAGAAAGTATTCCAAATCTTGAAATTCATTGATCATTCACCAATATAACACTCTCCAAAAAAAACAAAAAAGGACCATTCTTTTTATCTTGAAAGACTACTGAAGCACCTTATATAAATATAGTGAAATTAAAACTACACATGCAACATTTTCGAGATGTTTTATCGGGCAGAAAACAAGTCAAGAGTATTACTGATGGATAAGTGAATATTCTATCTTAGTGGCTCGAATACAGAAAAGACGAGATATATGTGCTTCAGCCTAAAGAAATTGTTGTTTTTATTTCTATTTTTTCAACTATAATTGTATTTTCACCGACAGGAAACATACAAGAATCTCAGCTAATTCATGCTAAAGAACAGAAGAACCTCTTAACTATAACAGCCAAAATAACTTACTATCTATTTTATTCTAGCCAGTATTCATAGATTATACTTGAATTATACATATATATACATCAGTTAAGTTTCAAATACCTTGAGCTACGAAAATCGAACGACGGCGTGCGGCGGCGGGAGAGCAATGAGAAATGGTTTTTGGGCTTCTTTTCAGAAATTAAAAGACAATTGGGCTCCTTATGTGGGCTGTGAGGTATTTTGTTTTGGGCCGGATGTGAAATATGGGTTAAAGCTGAAGGGGCTATATTGTAGAATTGTTATGTAATAGGTAAACAACACAAATTTCACTACTTTAGAAGCTAATTATTTAGATTCACGGCACTTTTTGTAATATTACGTTCTTTATCAGATTTTGGACTTCGGGTATATGTAATTGGTCTTGTCCAAATACGTCAAGATATATGTATCTTAGATACACATGGTCAAAATTAAGTGTAATTTGTTATAGATGCATTGTATTTACATGCGTGTATCTTGACCTTTTCGCTCGCTTCTCTATCTTATCCCACTTGCCACACTCCGCTCTCCCTGAATCTGGTTTACCCAGATACATGTATCTGCTGTAATTCTCATGTATTTGGGGACGACTCACATGTATTAGGGGATCTCGCTCGCCACTCTCGTATCCTATTCGTTCCTCTCCTTCTCTCGCTTGCTTCTCTCTCTAGTTTAGTATATCTGATAGCAAATATAAATAGAACTAAGTGTGTAAACTTGAAATACGATATGTAATTATTACTTCCTTTATTTCATAAAGAAGGACCTAGTTTGATTTGACACAAAATTCAAGAAAATAAAAAAAAAAACTTTTGAATTTTGTGATTCTAAATTAAAGTACAAAATCGTCCTTTAATCTTGTGGCCTTAAACATGCAATGTGAAAAGTTAAAATTAGAATGTTACTTAAAAAAAGAAAGAGATCATTCTTTTTTAAACAGATTAAAGAAAAAAATATGTCATTCTCTTTTAAACAAAAAAAAAGTAATTAGTAAGACAATATAGAATTATTTTAAACTATAGAAAAAATTTAAAAATAATATAAAAATATTTGTATAATTAGATAGTTTTTTCCTATTACAAGGGCATGCTAAAATACAAAAAAAAAAAAAGAAAAAAAGTAGAACTCCAATAAAAACTAGATCTCTTTGATCACGAGCAAAAGAACTTTTGTAATTATTATAAACACACCTTTAGATGACAAATGTGAAATATTCCAATTCTACCCAACCTTTTCAAGTCACAACCATCATAATATATGCTTTTATGAAATGACTTAACAAATCAAGCTAAACACATTAATTTTCACTCCATAGCCAAATTCATCCCAAAAGGCAAATCAAGAATTAAGAAGAAATAGAGAAATGGAAGGGGAGATCCACAATTTTATTGTTGTATGGGTTATTGTGTTAGCAAGTTTATGTTATTCTCACACCATAGCCAAATTCATTCCAAAAGGAAAATCAAGATTTGTGGCTACATTTCCAATTGTTTGTCTATTTTACATTCTTCCTCTTTATTTCACCTCTATTAATCTTGGGGCTACTACTTCTTTCTTCATTACAGGACTAGCCACTTTTAAGCTCATTCTTTTTGCTTTTGGTAAAGGCCCTTTATCATCAACTTCACCTCTACCACTTTCAACATTCATTCCATTGGCTTGTTTGCCTATTAAGTTGAAAAAATCATCAAAAACTAAAGATGTTGAGACCACAAAAAAGGCTACAAATTCAACTTTCAATCTTGTTACAAAGATTGCAATTTTAGCCATTTTGATTAGGGTGTATAATTATAAAGAAAATTTACATCCAAAATTCATTCTTTTTTGTTATTGTCTCCACATTTACTTCATGTTAGAGATTATGTTGAATATAGTTAGCATCATGGTTCGAGTGGTGAGTCGAGTTGAGCTCGAGCCAGCCATCAACAATCCTCACCTGGCTAGCTCGCTTCAGGATTTCTGGGGTAAGAGGTGGAACCTCATGGTAACCAATATACTCCGTCTGACCATCTATGATCATGTTCGTCTGGTTATTGTGGACCAGATCCCGAGGAAGTGGGCCCCAATTCCAGCTGTGCTTGCCACGTTTTTCGTCTCGGGGCTCATGCATGAGCTTTTTTTCTACTACATTGGAAGATTGAAGCCTAGTGGTGAAGCCATGACGTTTTTTCTTATTCATGGAGTCGCTCTGAGTGTTGAAATTGTTGTGAAGAAAATTTTAAATGGTAAATTTTTGGTTCCTAGGATTATTTCAGGTCCATTAACACTAGCATTTATTATTTTCACAAGTTTTTGGTTGTTTTTTCCTCCTTTTTTGAGGGGTAATACAGAACTTAAATTATGTAATGAATATATTGCTTTCTTTAAATTTATTAGGTATGGTCAATTACTTAGTCCTACCAATATTACATGTCCATTCCTGTAATACTATTTATTCATGATGGACTAAGGTTTGTATGAGTACTTATGATAGAGTTAATTTGAATTTCTTTGCATAACTTGCTATTTTTTATTTTTTTTATTTACTTTTTGAAAAGTTTCGTCACTTAAATCTCTATAGAGAAGAAGTTTCATATTCTTTCCCTAGAAAAACAACAAATCAATACACCGTTCTTTAATAATAATTTTAGGGGATGATATCGAATATCGTCATTCTTAATAGCAATAGCAATGTATTAACGATGTTTCTCATTAATTCTCTCTCCAAAATTCAAATAACCCTAGTGTTTTAACTAATAGAAATTCACGTGCGTAGAGCTAAATTATAAATGTAAAATGAATGTCATTAATCTCACCCTAATGACATTGGGGGTACATATATTCTTGTAAAATAACAGTATAATGAAGTAAATATTCCATCAAATAAAAGTTCAAATATTAATTAATTATCAACTGCAAATTGTTACGTAATTAATTAATAGGATCTACGATACATCATCAAGATCTACAAGATATTATAATAAAAAGAAAAGACTTCTTGAACCAATAATGACAATACTACATTTGTTTAATATAAAGATAATTTATATATATTATGTGTTTTAACTAATTTATCCAAATAATAATGACACATGGAAAAAAAATGATAAAGCATATTTACGTCATATATACTTTTTTCTCTTGGAATTTTGTAAGCTGATATCGTGTTTGATTATAATTTTTGAAAATAATATTTGATTGTTTGAATGTACCTTTCCTAAAAATATAAAATATAATTTAAATCCGTGTCACTTCTATAAAAATAAAACAATTAGAGTAAAGTTTGAATTTTTTTTAGTGTAAATAAAAAAAGAAGAAGAGAAAACAGAGTTTTGGGTGTTTTACAAATGCTAAGGTTAAGAAATTTTATTGTTTTTCTTTTATGCGATACACATTGTCAAACAACAGTGAAATTTCATAAGTGAAGTTTGGGAAGGGTAGAAGGTATACAGACTTTATCACTATTTTCATACGATAAAAAGAATGTTTTTAAAAGATCCTCGGCTCAAATATAACAATTTTTAATATGAAAAAGGAGAACAAAAAATATGTGATAGTATTTTTGTCGTGTAATATATATAGAGAGAGATAGATAGAAAAAGGTAGCTTAATCTATTGCTACCCAACCCCACTTTCACATGTTCCCTAAGTCAACAATCATATAATTGTATTATGATTCAATATTATATGATTTTTTCCCCTATTAGAGATAATAAAGACATCTTTAAAATCCATCCATTTTTCAAGAAGAATAAGAAACATAGAAATGGAAGGGGAAATTCACAATTTCATTGTTGTATGGGCTATTGTCTTAGTTAGTTTATGTTACTCTCACACCATAGCCAAATTCATTCCCATTGGCAAATCAAGATTTGTGGCTGTATTTCCAATAGTTTGTCTATTTTTGTTTCTTCCTCTTTATCTCACATCTATTCATCTTGGTGGCACTACTTCTTTTTTTATTGCATGGCTAGCCACTTTTAAGCTCATTCTTTTTGCTTTTGGTAAAGGCCCTTTATCATCAACCCCACCTCTACCACTTTCAACATTCATTCCCTTGGCTTGTTTGCCTATAAAGTTTCAAAAAAATTCAATTAATGATAATGTTGAAACCAAAAAAAAGACCACAAAGTCAACTTTAAATCATGTTACCAAAATTGCACTCCTAGCCATTTTCATTAGGGTGTATAGCTATAAAGACTATTTGCATCCAAAAATTATTCTCTCCTTCTATTGCTTTCACATTTACTTCATGTTAGAGATTATATTTAATATGATTAGCGCCGTGGTTCGAGGGGTGAGTCGAGTCGAGCTCGAGCCACCCTTCTATGAGCCTTACCTAGCTAGCTCACTCCAGGATTTCTGGGGCAAGAGGTGGAATCTCATGGTAACTAATATACTCCGTCCGACCGTATATGATCCTGTCCGTTCAATAGTGGCGGACCGGATCGCGAGGAAGTGGGCCCCACTTCCAGCCATACTCGCGACGTTTTTCGTCTCGGGGCTAATGCATGAGCTGATTTTCAATTATAATGGAAGATTGATGCCTAATGGTGACTACATCATATTCTTTCTAATTCATGGAGTCACTTTGAGTGTTGAAATTACTATCAAGAAAAATTCGAAGGGCAATTTTTTTTTACCTAGGATTATTTCATGTCCATTAGCACTTGGATTTATATTTTTCACAAGTTTTTGGATGTTTTTTCCTTCATTTTTGAGGGGTAACACAGAGTTTAAAGCATGTAGTGAATCTATTGCTTTCTTTAAATTTATTAGGTATGGTCAATTAATTAGTCCTGCCAATATCACATGTCCACTCTTGTAATAATATTTATTCATGGTGGACTAAGGTTTGTATCATATGTGTTATGATAAAAATAAATTACTTTGAATGCAACATGAAATTGTTACGATAATCACAACACATTGTTATTAGGTTTAAATAAAGCTATTGGTGTTAGCCATTTTGACGTTCATACTCTTTCTATTTTTTTTCTTTCTAAAATTGGTTTGCAAATATATTTGAATATTATTTTCGTACATTTATATTTTATTTTTTAAATTTCTTAAATAAAAATTCTGAATCCATCACTGATTAAGACACACAAATAATCATGCATCATTTTTTCAAACAAGGATTAGAAAAACATGATCATTTTTTTGTTAGAACCAATTCACCTAAATAAGTGTCAAAGTAGAATATATATAGAAGATTGTTATAAATTTCATCTTTCTAACTTTTTTCTTATATCTTTTGCAATATTATATAGCTTAATTTTATATATCACGCATTCATTATAAAATCTTCACACACACACACACAATATATATATATATATCTTTATATCTATATCTATATATATATATATATATATATGAAAGAAAAAATTAATTTCAGATTGTAATATTATTGAAGAAAATTATATTCATTAATTATAATATATTTTATGATTTGTAATGACGACAAATAAATTACAATGTCCAATTATAAAATTTATATTTAACGTCAATTTTTATTTTTTTAATAATTTTATTCTCTTATATATAATTATATTGATTGACAAATGGAAAACACATATGTTAAACTAGTAATACTGAATATTATATGAAATAATATTGAGTTTATTATCGAAACACAAACTCTTTTTTACTTTTAAAGCACGAAGTCTCTCATTTGAATCTCGGAGATAGAATTTTCATGGAACTCTTCAAAAACTAATATTGTTTTAGGGGTTCTAATATAAAAATTGAAAAACGTAAAAATATTTCACAGTGAAAAAATTATCAAGATACAAATGTGATACTCTACCGTTGCATGCATTAAATATTGCTTTCACAATTGAAATATATAACCTAAACTTAAACGAAGATAATTTTATTGTTGCTTCAAGACTTTTTTTGTGTAATGATATATGATTAAGCAAATAATAATAAAAAATTTCTCCGACATTTTCGAGGTACTGCATTAGTAATACTCTAATAGAAAGGAATTAGATTCATTTTTCTTGAGTAACTATTGAATTCAGTCACCCAATTAGAATATATGTTTATTGAAATTTAAAATACTCAAATTGAATTGGTAATCGATTTGAGACAAAACCTAATTAATATTAGTTTCGATAACTAACTACTAATTTTACTATCAAAGTAAGCTTTTACAATACATAAAACCTAATTAATGTGTATTTGATTAGTGATTAATTTATGAATCAGTCATTAGATCACCTAATTAATGTTTATATATACTTTATAGAATTTTGAAAATTAATTAGTGATTAATTTATAATTAATTATTAAATTAGGGACTATTTAAATGGAATTAGTACAAATGTAGCAATTTTTATTTTATTTTGTGGCCTCTATCTTATTTTGTTAGTCAAAGTCATGTTCATACTATGTGCATGTCAAAAAAATAAAAATAATATCTATGTCAAAATGTCATCCATTTTTGTGATTTGACCACCCTTAATTCTTATCAATTCGATTATAAAATGACATCCCAAAATTCATCTTTCAAACAACAAAATTAGAATTCACTCTTAGCAAAATTCATCTTTTTAATATAACAAAAGTAGAACTCATTCTTAGCAAAATTCATCTTTTTAATATCATCACCGAAGACTTCTTTTTATAATGATTCTGATCATAATCCTAATATCTTTTTAGTTGATGATTCTGATCATGACGAAAAAGAGGATGACTTTGATGATACGTCGTTTAACTTTAGTTCAAAGAAAGATGTTAAGAATGGTCATTTGGATGATAACTGTAGATTTGCTCTTGATTACTCTAATGATATTGACGAAGAAAAAGAAGAAGTTGAATAAGAGTAGGAGCACAAGGAGGAAAGCAAAGAAAAAGATGGTTAGGCGGCTGATGAAAATGACGAGACCGATGAGGACGAAAAAGATGATTAATTTATGTAGTCTTTGATGTAATGATTCATATCCTTCTATATTCTTGATTTTCTCTTTTGGTGCATTTTATCTTAGTTTATTTTGTTTTCCTCTTGTCTATTTTAAAGTTTTGATGAATTTATTAAACAAAATTACTTTTATTTTCTTTTTACTTTGGTTCATTTTATTTCTATTTTATTTTATTTTAGAGTTTTTGACGAATTTAATACACTTATATAAGTGATTTACTAAATGAGATACCACTTATGCTAAGCATAGGTTTAATATTAAGATTTAATTTTCCATACAAATGATCTGGTGTAATTATTTTACATATGGTTTAATATTTTATTTTCAACAATCTATATATAATAGAGAAAAAGACATAAAGCATTACTGAAGTTGTTTCAAATTTTTAAAAAGATACCTTAACTTTGCAGACATCCTATTACCCCACAAAAGTATTGAATATCTTTGTAAAAAGACCATTTTGATTTATTTTCTCGCCATGTTTGTGAACACGCACATGACACATGTGAAGGTCTACTTTTGCTGTCAAAAATCAATTGAAAAATGTCATGTTTCAATCATTTTCTTTATTAATTATTTACCTCATCATCTTCCTCAAATTGGGTTACAATTGTCTCAAATGTGTTAAACTTAATTAATGGCAAATCAAATATCATTAACACAAATTTACCTCATCATCTTCCTTAATGATGCTTTAATAATATGAATTAGAGTTTGGGAAAAATTATTATTGACAAATAGAATCACAAAAAACTATTAATAATAGATGCTTTAACAGAAATAACTCATTAAATTGACACATTTCAAAAAAAATTTAAACTAGTAATATCAAATTCAGATTTACGTTGACTAATCAAAAATGAATTGACGAAAATAGCACTACGTGGAGAATTTGATTATGAAGAAGAAGAAGAAGAAAGAGAACAGAGGAGGATAATAAAGAAGAACAAGAAAAAGAATATAGAAAGAAGAAAGAAAGAGAAAAAGAAAAAGAAAAGAAAATAAAAGTTGATAAAATAAGAAAAATAAAAATAAAAATTAATACGTGGCAGATTATAATTGATGCGTAATTGAACTTTTTTTTACAAGTGAGGATGGTTAAAAAATGGAATATTTACAACACTTTAAAAATTCAAAATAACTTCAGTGGTGATTTAATGTCTTTTCTCTATATAATATCAAAAGTTAATTATGGACGGTTCATATGTGCAACACTTCAATTTTTGAAAAAAAAAAATTAAGTTGAAAATAGCAAAATTTGAAATTTTGCAAGTTATGCTAAATATGAGTTTTGGATTAATTTCAACAATTACAAGTGTAGGATGACTTAAGTGACCCATAAGATATCAAGTGAAAGGTCTTAAAATCCTCTTTCCAATCACCAGATTTGTTAATTTTCAAACTCGTATGAGAGAGATCCGTAAGAAGTCAGACTGTCCAGTGGAGTACCACAATAAAAAAAATTTGTGATTTACATAAGAATTTCCTGAAAATTAGTATAAATTTTACAAAAAAAATTAAATTTTTTATGAATTTTCATACTAATTTCTAAAAAACCCCACGTAATTTACAATTTTAGTAGTTATAATAGTAAAATCGTGAAGTTAATTTTTCATGTGTGCATTTAGCCTGCTTATATGGGGCCGTGCTTGCACGGTCATTCATGCTAGAAATTATTACATTAGAAATACTCTACTTACCCCACTTCTACATGTGACATGTTCATTCTAGCCATCTATATTTGAAGAAGAAGAAGAAAAAAAGATAGAAATGGAAGGGGAAATTCACAATTTTATTGTTATATGGGTTATTGTGTTAGCAAGTTTAAGTTATTCTCACACCATAGCCAAATTCATTCCCAAAGGCAAATCAAGATTTGTGGCTATATTTCCAATTGTTTGTCTATTTTTCATTCTTCCTCTTTATCTCACCTCAATTCATCTTGGTGCTACTACTTTCTTCTTCATTACAGGACTAGCCACTTCCAAGCTCATACTTTTTGCTTTTGGTAAAGACCCTTTATCATCAACCCCACCTCTACCACTTTCAACATTCATTCCCTTGGCTTGTTTGCCTATTAAGTTGGGAAAAAAATCATCAAAGACTAAAGATGTTGAAACCATAAAAAAGGCTACAAATTCAACTTTCAATCTTGTTACCAAGATTACACTTCTAGCCATTTTAGTAAGGGTGTATGATTATAAAGACAATTTACATCCAAAATTCATCCTCTTTTGTTATTGTATAAACATTTACATCATGTTAGAGATCATATTGAATATGGTTAGCGCCGCGGTTCGACGGGTGAGTCGAGTCGACCTCGACCCACCCTTCAATGAGCCTTACCTGACTAGCTCGCTCCAGGATTTCTGGGGCAAGAGGTGGAACCTCATGGTATCTAATATTCTCCGTTTGGCTGTCTATGACCCCGTCCGTTTGATTGTAGCGGACCGAATCCCGAGCATGTGGGCCCCAATTTCAGCTGTGTTCGTCACGTTTTTCGTCTCGGGGCTAGTGCATGAGCTACTTTTGTATTACATTATTGAAAGATCGAAGCCTAGTGGTGAAGCCATGATGTTCTTTTTAATTCATGGAGTCGCTTTGTGCGTTGAAATTGTTATCAAGAAAATGGCCAATGGCAAAATTTTGGTTCCTAGGACTATTTCAGGTCCATTAACACTAGCATTTATTATTTTCACAAGTTTTTGGTTGTTTTTTCCTCCTTTTTTGAGGAGTAATACAGAATTTAAATTATGTACCGAATATATTGCTTTCTTTAAATTTATTAGGTATGGTCAATTAATTAGTCCTACCAATATCACATGTTCATTTTTGTAAGAATATTCTATTCACGGTGTACTAAAGTTTGTTACGATTTATGGTACAAATAATTTTGATGCAATTTCATTTTATTTTTTTTTGTATTTTGGAAAAGATTTAAAAGGTAGCTTTGTTTATCGTCTTTCAAAAGCAACCTCACTTAAATCTGTTGAAAGAAAAATTTGATAGCATTTTCCTATACATATCATTAAATATTCACCATGTTTATTTCTTTCGCTTGTCCAAAAAATAACACATTTGTTCACCTAATTCAACAAATATGGACGATCTTCAATAATAGTCCTTTGGATGTATTGCAACATGTTGTTATGTTTAAATCAGGCTAATGGTGTTTGCCATTTTTACCCTTTATACTTTTTCTATCTTTTTTGTTTAAAGTAATAAATTCTTAGTACACAAAATTATTAAACTAATCTTTTTGTGTACTTTTGTTTATATACAACAATTAATCTTTTGTAATAAATATTCAATGAAAGTAAATTTGACCGTTATAATACTATTAAAATTTACTTAATCCAACTCTTCACAAAACACTAGACTGCCTTGACCTGTTGACCATGTTATAAATATAAAAAAAAATTGAACTCTTTTCAAAAATCATGTCTTAGATAACAACTTTTTAGTTATTTCATTTCTCCCTAACCCCACTTCCACAACGTTCCCTAAGTCAACAATCATATTGTATAATGACTCATACAATATGATTTTTTTTTCTCATTAGAAATAATATAGTCATCTTTAAATTACATTTTTCTTTCAAGAAGAAGAAGAAGAAAGATTAAAAAATGGAAGGGGAAATTCACAATTTCATTGTTGTATGGACTATTGTCTTAGCAAGTCTATGCTATTCCCACACCATAGCAAAATTCATCCCCAAAGGCAAAGCAAGATTTGTGGCTATATTTCCAATTGTTTGTCTATTTCTCACTCTTCCTCTTTATCTCACATCCATTAATCTTGGTTGTACTACTTCATTCTTCATTGCATGGCTAGCCACTTTCAAGATTCTTCTTTTTGTCTTTGGTAAAGGCCCTTTATCATCAACCCCATCTCTACCACTATCAACATTCATTCCATTGGCTTGTTTGCCTATAAAGTTTCAAAAATATTCAACTAGTGATGATGTTGAAACCACAAAAAAGGCTACAAATTCAACTTTCAATCTTGTTATTAAGATTGCACTTTTAGCCACTTTGATTAGGGTGTATAATTATAAAGATAATTTGCATCCAAAAATCATTTTATTTTGTTATTGCCTCCACATTTACTTCATGTTAGAGATCATATTGATCATGGTTAGCGCCACAGTCCGAAGGGTGAGTCGAGTCGAGCTCGAGCCACCCTTCAATGAGCCTTACCTAGCTAGCTCGCTTCAGGATTTCTGGGGAAAGAGATGGAACCTTATGGTAACCAATATACTCCGTCCAACCATATATGACCCTATACATTCAATGGTGGCTAACCGGATTTCGAGGAAGTGGGCCCCACTTCCGGCTGTGATCGCAACGTTTTTCGTCTCGGGGCTAATGCATGAGCTGATTTTCTACTACAATGGAAGATTAAAACCTAATGGTGAAGTCATGATGTTCTTTCTAATTCATGGAGTCGCTTTGAGTGTTGAAATTGTTATCAAGAAAATTTTAAATGGAAAATTTTTGGTTCCTAGAATTATTTCAGGTCCATTAGCACTTAGTTTTATAATTTTCACAAGTTTTTGGTTGTTTTTTCCACCTTTTTTGAGGGGTAATACAGAGCTTAAAGCATGTACTGAATTTATTGCTTTCTTAGAATTTATTAGGTATGGCAAATTAATTAGTCCTACCAATATAACTTGTCCACTTCTATAATAACAAAAAAAAAGTACTTATTTCATGGTGGGCTAAGGATTGCAGGAGTTATGATTGAATTAATTAATTAATTTGAATGGCATGTGAGATTTCCTACTTTTTTGGTACTTTTGAAAAGACAAATGAGTAAACCCTTGTAGATACTAAATTTCAATTTTCTTTTAATTGGTCGATACATTGTAAATCTGAATTAATCGAACTTGTGAGTTCTGAATATCAAATAATTATATACAACAAAAAAGTTTTTTCCTAAAAAGAGAAAAATTTGAAATTAAAAATTCTATAATTTGAGGTTGTTCTATTTCAATGTGAACAATTTATAACTAGTCTTACATGAATGGACAAGTGATATTGTCAGGACTAACTAGTTTACCATACCTAACAAATTCTAAAAAAGCAATAGATTCATTACATCCTTTGACATCTGGCTTACCCCTCAATAATGGTGGAAAAAACAACCAAAAACTTGTCAAAATTATAAACCCTAATGTTAATGGACCAGAAATAAACCTAGGGACCAATAATTTGCCATTTAACAATTTCTTGACCATAATTTCAACACTCAAAGCTACACCGTGAATGATAAAAAAACATGTGACTTCCCAACTAGGTTTCTCTCTTGAAATGTAGTAAAAAATCAGCTCATGCATTATCCCCGAGACGAAAAACGTCGCGAGCACCGCGGGAAGTGGGGCCCACTTCCTCGGGATTCGATCCAACATCAACGACCGAACAAGGTTGTAAACGGTTGGACGAAGTATATTGGTTACCATGAGGTTCCATCTTTTGCCCCAAAAATCCTGAAGTGAGCTAGTCTTGTAAGGTTCATCAAAAGGTGGTTCGAGTTCGACTTGGCTCGCAACTCGAACCATAGTACTAACCATGGTTAATAAGATTTCTAGGAAAAAGTAAATGTGGAGGCAATAACAAAAGAGAAGGAGTTTTGGATGTAAATTGTCTTTATAATTATACACCCTTATCAAAATGGCTAGAAGTGTAATCTTGGTAACAAGATTGAGGGTTGAATTTGTGGTCTTTTTTGTTGTTTCAACATTATCACTAGGTGAATGTTTTTGATACTTTATAGGCAAACAAGCTAAGGGAATGAATGTTGAAAGTGGTAGAGGTGGGATTGATGACAAAGGCCCTTTACCAAATGCAAAAAGAAGAATCTTGAAATTGGCTAGCCATGCAATGAAGAAACAAGTAGTGCCACCAAGATTGATAGAGGTAAGATAGAGAGGAAGAATGAAAAATAGACAAACAATTGGAATTATAGCCACAAATCTTGATTTGCCATTTGGAAAGAATTTGATAATTGTGTGACAATAACATAAACTTATTAAAACTATAGTCCATACCACTATGAAATTGTGGATCTCCCCTTTCATTTCTTCTCCTTTCTTCTACTTGGAAAAATATGGCTTTAACTAAGAGATAATTTTAGAGAAAAAAGATGTAGTGATGATGGACCTAGGGGACATATGGAGTGGGGTGGGGGTTCACTTAATTAAATTTGGTCTTTATACTAAGATATGATTTATTGCACTTGATGAAGGAGATCTTGTATAAGATAAAGGAATCTATTCTTTTTATAATAATAATAATAATTTAATGTAATCAAATTGTTTAAAAACCAATTATATATAGGTAATCATCTTCTATGGAATTAATTTTTATCATTATAATGGTGTAAATTTTACATTATTAATATATTTTTATTTAACATGTAAAAGTATTTGACTAAATACACTATTATAAAAGTGGTTAAATTAAATTATACATTTTAAATCTTGATTTCGTTTTTGTTTCATCCCAACTTCTTTTTAATCATAGAAATCACTTGAAATCTTATCACAAGTATTTCGTGATAAATTAAAATCTGACAAAGAAATCAAAATACGAAATATTTTTTTTCTTGCCATTTATTTTTTTAAAACTTTTTTGTTGGGTCCAAATAGCAGTGTGTAATAAAATGAATGTTAGTCAAATTTGGAAGTCTGTTCTTTCTTCACCTACATTTGAGGACCGCTCTCTTTTCTTGAATATTAGTGTCACGTTCATCAAAGCTTGTAACATTTTATTGACCGTTTTAATTTATTTGTTTCTTTTTAATAAACACAAAATTAAAAAAAAATGAATTTTATAATTTTAAATTAAAAATATGTATAAATATTTCCTTTTATAGTTGAAATTTTTTTGCAAAATTCATCTCGATGTTACTAAAGTTAAATTTGCATCCAAAGATCTAATCTTAATTGTGAATCTTCCTTTCAATTTCCTTCTCTTGCTAGATGAATCCAATAAAAAAAGAGAACATTAATAGAGCATAGTTTCTGCTATTTATGATATAACATAATCTCTCCGTTCGGTATTGTTATGCTTTTTAAAAGTTAATTTGATTAATTTTTAAAGTTAAAGTAGATCATATTAATTCGGTATTTTAAACAAAAACAAATTAGATATTCTAAAACTATATGAAAAGTACTATAAATTGCAGTCTTTTGCATATTAATAAGATGAAAAAATACATCTTAAAATGTTAGTCAAAATTTTTTATAATTTGACTCTAAAATAAGAAACCGTAACAAACAATAACAGACGAAGAAAGTTTTTTGTTACGTGATGAATATAAAAGACATGTGGAAGTGGGGCCCCTGAGAAGGTTCACCTCTAATCCGTATAGGTGTGTCTATATTCTTTTGAGTGAACGAGAATTATTTTTTTTAAAGCAACTAGTACTCTAATGAAATAGTTTCAAAATCGCTTTATCAAATAAAAGAAATCACTATTATACCGATCATGTTATTGAAAATTTTTAAATTTTATTTGGGCTAGTGACTATGAAATGGATTTTGGACATTTCCACCTAAGATATTATTGTCATTTAAAATTGCTTTTATTAATCTAGCCATATGTAATATATATAAGAGGAGGGGTGCTAGTGCTTACCATGACTATCTCGTGTCATTCCTTTCATTTTCAACTATTCCAATTTAATATTGAAAGCATAACTTATTTATTTTTTCAACAACAAATTGAACAATTATTCTTTATATTTTATTTTCCAACTCTTTAAAACTGGGACCTACTGATCTTATCTATAGAAGCATGGACTTTGTTAGATTCAAATGTTTGACATTTAAACTAATAACATATGTTACAGACATTACTTGATAGATATATAAAAGATTATGTATAGTTGGATATTTTAATAATCTCATGCTTGTTTGCGACGAAATAACATAGATTAAACGATAATTAGTTGAATATTCTTTATCGATGGTATATAGAAAATTTTATTGCTTAGGTACAAATGACATCTTACATAAATAATTAAGTAGTGAACACTATCGGTCAAAAATTTTGGTAACATCATTGATCGCCGTAATATAATCAGACTTCTCTTCATTCTTTATAATGACATTTTATAACAATGACGATTTCTTTAGCATCGACTTTCATATTATGTTATGTTAATTATTTTTTTATAACTAATTATAATTTTTTTCTTGAATAAGTAATATCACTGTTGAAAAGTTTGATCGTATATATTTCTTAATTAATAATCATATGATGACTAATCTTATGTGACATCAAAATATTCCTTGCTTCCCTAGGTTGACAATCATAACGTATATTTTTTTCTAATTAGAAACAAAAAAAAAAAGGATCTTTAAATTCAAGCCAACTTTCAAGAAGTAGAAGAAATTAACAAAGAAATGGTAGGGGAAATCCACAATTTCATTGTAATATGGACTATTGTCTTAACAAGTTTATGTTATTGTCACACAATTGTCAAATTCTTTCCAAATGGCAAATCAAGATTTGTGGCTATAATTCCAATTGTTTGTCTATTTTTCATTCTTCCCCTTAATCTTACTTCTATCAATCTTGGTGCCATTACTTCTTTTTTCATTGCATGGCTAGCCACTTTTAAGCTCATTCTTTTTGCTTTTGGTAAAGGCCCTTTGTCATCAACCACACCTCTTCCACTTTTAACATTTATTCCATTGGCTTGTTTGCCTATAAAGTTTCAAACACCATCAACTAATACCACTCAAAAGAGTACAAACTCAACTTTAAATATTGTTATCAAGATTGCACTTCTAGCCACTTTAATATGGGTGTATAGCTTTAAAGCCCATTTACATCCATATATTATTCTCCTTTTATATTGTTTCCATATTTATTTCTCCCTAGAAATAATCTTGACCATGGTTAGCACCATGGTTCGAGTCGTAAGTCAAGTCGAGCTCGAGCCACCCTTTGATGAGCCTTACAAAACTAGCTCACTTCAAGATTTCTGGGGTAAAAGGTGGAACCTCATGGTAACCAACATACTCCATCCAACCGTTTACGTTCCTGTTCGATTGATGATGACGGAAAGGATCTCGAGGAAGTGGGCCCCACTTCCAGCTGTCCTCGCGACGTTCTTCGTCTCGGGGCTAATGCATGAGCTCATTTTCTACAACATTGGAAGACTAAAGCCTAGTGGAGAAGTCACATGCTTCTTTATCATTCATGGGGTGGCATTGACACTAGAAATTGTGATCAAGAAATTGTTAAATGGCACAGTTTTGGTTCCTAAAATTATCTCAGGACCATTAGCATTAGGATTTATAATTTTGACAAGTTTTTGGTTGTTTTTTCCACCTTTTTTGAGGGGTAAAGCAGAAATTAAAGCATGTACTGAATTTATTGCTTTCTTAGAATTTGTTAAGTATGGTAAACTAGTTAGTCCTTCAAATATTACATGTCCACTAGTACTATAGTCTAGAAGACTACTACTAGTCTTGCTTGAATAAAATACAATCTCTTTATCTGCTAAGGTAGTAGTAAGGTCTGCATTTACATTGTTCTTTCAAACATTAGTAGAATTTACTGAATACGTTATTATTGTCATTTGACTCAAAAACAACAATCAAATGTTACTCTCATTTTATATTTAGGTAAACAGAGCCAGAATTTGCACTAACAAGATTCAAAATATGAAGAAATAAATGTTCAAAGAAGTCAAAGGGATTTTCTAAGTATCCTAAACAAGTTGACACAACATAAAACGCATTAAGCGAATTAAGTTCATTTTAGTTTTTAAGCTACTAAGTGGGTTAATAGTTGCATTGAGCCTACATATGAAGCTAGGTAGGGTCAATAGAGCTCGAAAAAAAAATATTGAATAAAAATTGCACTTTTATATATACATTGTTTCGGGATATAGAGAAAATAACATATTCCCTTGGTTTGTTTGCCTAAATAGTTTCAAATATCATCAACAAAATACATTCATCTGAATCCAAAAAATTAATCTCTTTTTATATTATTTTTACATTTATTTCTCCCTAGAAATAATCTTGACCATGGTTAGCACCATTGTTGTCAACTCGAGCTCGAGGAACCCTTTGATGCACCTTACAACTTACAAGACTAGCTCGCTTCAAGATGTCTCGACTCTTGGGGTAAAAAGATGATAACCAGCCCACTTCATATGATGTGTTTGAATCTCCAAATTCAACAGGTGTCAGAGAAATAAGAAAGAGGGAGTATTATCTTATGTTAATTATGTGTTAGAGATCAATAAAAATCAATCTGTCATTTAGTTTAAATACAAAATATGATGGGATTAATTAATATAATGCGAGATTAATTAATAAAACTTCAATTTGATGAATGTTTTACAACATACTCTATGGTACATGAATAAGAACCTATAGGGTGGCTAAATCAGCCAATACATGACCTATATCCAACTCGTTCTAAGCCCGTTTTGGCCCGTCCAAATGTAATCCAGCACGCCCATTTGACACACTTGATGAATTATCTCGAAAATGTTGATTTCACAGCCCTAGTGAAATCCTTAAAGAATGCACCAATTGCTTCATACTCTGCAAGAGCTCTAACATCAGAATTACACCGTAACAATTGAGGAAAAAATAGCCACAAACCCGTGATCATAACGAATCCAACGGTCAAGATTGTCCCGATTATCCGTGGGAGCTTAAATCTACCGTTGATCACCTTCTTAGCATAAATCTCTAGGTTCAAACAAACCCCATGTAGCAAAAAGAACCAAGTGATCTCCCAAGTGGGCTTAACCCGGCCCAAATAGTAAAATATCAGCTCATGCATAAGGCCCGAAACAACAAATGTAGCCATCACCGCGGGAATTGGGGCCCACTTTCGGCCCAAAATATTCGCGGAGAGGCTTAGAACGGGCTTATATATAGTGGGCCTAAGGATACGAGTGACAATGAGATTCCAACGCCGGCCCCAAAAATCTTGTAGTGAAGTTGATAAATACGGTTCATTGAACTGTGGCTCTAGCTGAAGCCCGAGAAGCCCGCGGGCCAAGCCCGAAACAATAGCTAGAATAATATCTAAGCTAAGGTAAATGTGGAAGCAATATATGACCATAATTATATAGGGATGTATATAATCACTATAGTCATAAACTCTAATAATTAAAGCAAAAATAAGTGTCTTTATGCCATAATTTAACTTTTGACCTTTGTTGGACTTTGCAAAAGAGGGAACTGAACTTTCTTTAAAATAGCCACTTTTTGCAAAATCCTTTCCATTTTGCACACTAGAACCATTTTCAACTAACTTCTTAGATGGGGTTTCATAAAAATAACCATCTTGAAAAGGGTTGTTTTCAATTTTATCAATTGAGCTTGGAAATTGAGTTTCTTGAAAATGGTCATTTTTTGCAAAATCCTTTTTTTCATTAGATGGGGTTTCTTGAAAATGATTATTTTGATGAAATTTATCTCTATTTTCCACATAAATTTGAGATTTTTGTTGAATCTTGATAGGTAAACAAGCAAGAAAAACAAATTTAATAATAGAAAGTGAAGAATCAGAAAGTGGACCTTGGTCAAAAGCAAGTAAAATAAGTTTAAAATTACAAAGCCAAGAAATGAAAAAACCAGTATTACCACAAAGATGAACAGAATTAATTTTAAGTGGAACATAAAGGAAAAATAATATCACTGGTAAAAAAGAAGAGAGCCTAAATAAACCTTTTGGAAGAATTTTAGATGATAAATAACAATAACAAAGTGATACATAAATTAATAACCATACCTTAATAAAATTTTCAATTTCTCCTTCTATCCAATATATGATAACATCTTTAATATTTCCCTCCATAATATAACTGTTATTTATTTGTATGATAAAAAAAAACCTTTTCTTTTTATTGTTTTTTGATTTGGGATGAACAAATGTGAAGAAGTTAAAATGATGGAGAACACAAAAAGTTGTGCTAATGAAGGAGACATGTGACAAAACTCTGGATCTACTCAACTTATTTTAATCAAGTCCACAAAATTATACTCTATAGGAAAACCAATTGATTTTTGACACATCATCTTAGAAATTAAGTGAATATTTTACTATAAAAATAAAAGTTTCTTGCGTTTAAAAATGAAGATCTCTTATCTGTAAAAACAAATTTAGAAAATTCATGTTGACCCTTAGGCCTTAGCTAGTATGACTAGCGTCTCTTGATTAGGGTTCGTCCTAGTAATTTTAGAAAGATTAAATCTAATACGTTTTAATAACTCAAGATTTATATTAGAAAAGGAATTTGAAGAAAAAAGGGAACAAGTTACATCTCGATCATCAAATTTGCTCTAGTATACTATGAATATTTGAAGTTTTATTTTTCATAATTAGTGATTGATAAATATTTCTAGTAGTAATTAAAGAATAATTAGTTCAAATTTGATAATGAATTCATGACAATAGTGGATTAATAATTTTTTTTATTATTTTAATAACCAGCCAGTTTTGAATATGCTAATTATATCTTCAAGTCAACATTCAAACTTGGAATGCTTCTTTGTAAAGGAATTGTTTTAAATCATTTTAATAAACTTATCTAAATAACATTATCTCCATCAAATAAGAATGGTAAAAATGGAAATATATAGGTTGACTAGAATTTTGAAGTATACTTCTACATTTTAATTAAAAGCTTTCAGATCCAAATTTTATATATACAAAAAATTATCAAGATTAAACTTTTTTATAAAAATTTAAATTAATCAGACCTCAAAATAAATTCCACAGACTATTAATCCACAACTCTCACATGTCACTTCAAGTCAAAGTTTGTGTATTACAAAATATAAAATCACCAAATTGCTTGATATTTCCAGGAAATAATACTTTGTCAACCCCCACCACCAATATTTTTTGAGATTTTCCAGGATTTATTACATATTTTAAAAGTATCTTCACTAGAATAAGATTAACTATTTACTTTTCCTTATCGTTATATGCAAATTATACATTAATTATATACCTTTATATATATATATACACACAACTATTGACTATTTTTAATTTAATCGATATAGTAAATAACTATTTTAATTAATTCATCTGATCAAATAAAACTATAGGGCAAAAGTTATGACTTTTGATCATTTCATAAAAAGGGCTTCTGTATTTTACTTGAGGGTCAACACACTATGCAGAACTCGGTGGATAATGAATTCATCCTTCTATACTTCTTTGCTTAAATATGGTTCAAACTTATGACGTGAGTCTATCTCATATATTACATGTTGCGCTCTTATTACTAGAGCAAAGCCCGAGAAGCTAAATTCTTAGCTAATGTTTAACCATAGATTTTAGATTATATTTTAAAAATTTTATCTTCAAATATTTGTTTAATAATGAAATAATTGAACCTTCAAAACTTTTAAGTTCCATTGGACGTGTGGGACTAACTCTCACAAAAAAATTCAAACGTTTGCCAAGTAAAATACATATCGAAACACAACTTCAAAAACTCAAATCCTTCTATGGTCCAACGCAAGCTTAATCCACATCTTTTTATAGCATCTTCCCACATGGTATGTATTTTAGGTATACCATACATTTACATGAGGCAAATCTCAACAAAAGTAAAATATAAGAACCAAACTTAACCATAAAAGTTTCAATCTTTTATAGGTTCTTCTTACCAAGAAAAATCATGAACAATCATGCCAATGCATGAATGTCAAAAGAACATAACAAAGTAACTAAAGTCAAGGGAGAAAAGTAGCTAAAGAACAAAACTTTGACAAACTTTAGTTGAAAGGTAAGTAAAAAGAATGCAATATGATAATGAGGAAATGTAAAGGAAAAATATATATATGACTGTCTTGCTCGTCTTGGACCTGACCGCGCCCTTTTAGGCTAGTCGAGCTCATGCAACACCAGTATCAATGAGGAATGCACCTAATCTTTCTCAAAATAAATGGGAAAAAAAAAAGATCAAAATTTGATGAACAAAATATCTAGATTTCTTCACAGTTTTACAACATTCAAAAAGCACACTTATGCACATGAAACTTGATAGAGAGAGAGGCAAAAAGGAGAGAGCTTTTGATCATATAATCAATTGCAGCAGGTTGTTTTCTCTCTAATGCACCCTCTTTTTTTCTCTTCTGAAAAACTAGCAGGTAACAAAAAAAGTTGAGATAGTTACGAAGAACGAAAACAAGTATAGCACAGGGGATTCCGATTCATGTCCATGGTGTTGTTGTTCATTTTTCCTGCCACTCTCTCTTGATTTCGAATGTATAGTTGATCTCCAAATAGCATTTGTTATCGTCATCAAGAAACTGCAGCGGAAGCAAACAACAAGAAAAATGACTTTAGTTGTGTCTTACCTAGTAGGACCAAAAAGTTTAAGTCGTCTGATGTACGAAGCATCCTGCATTCACTCAAGGGACACACCCTGAAGAGGTATCGAAGTAGGCAGCCTATCATGACACAAGCATCATTGGCTGATTTCACCTCACAAATCCGATAGAATTTTAGGTGGTCCTTTAATACAAGACTTAAAAACTAGTCGAAAACAAAAAGAGGTCCCATGTAAAAGATAAAGGGACCATCTGCAGAGAACTGCAACCTCACTATCGGTCTACCAGATTGAAGACAGTAACGTTCGCCAAATTAAATGCATGAGATAAGCTTGCAGATTCACTCGTAACTAAGCCACACACAAGACTAGACTAACGGTAGATATGGAATATGTTAAGAGCATTAATGAGATAGAAAAATCACCTTTGTCCTTGCCGAGTAAGATCCTCTTGCGAAAATGCCAGAAGGGGTGGTTTCTTCTGGCATTTCGTGAGTATACGGCTCCAGTTGAGGACTGAACGCCCCAATCATCTCTTTTGTGCTGTCAACTGAAACAACATTCGTGAAAAGGGAAAACGTTAACTAAAAACATCAAGAATAAACTACATAGGCCTAAAAATGACATTCATACAGAGGTGGAAATGTGAAGGGATAACATAGTACCTTTGATAGCGGTTTTCCAAACTGCATTCGTGTATTTAAGACCTGTTACTATATTATTGTTGACCTGGAACGTAAATTTTAGGCTGTATTTGCTCCCTTCTTTCAGGACAAACCATGGACTCTTGGGATTTCCGTCCTCGGGGATAGGGAGAACAATATCAGATCTACCGGGCGACTTAATTGCAAGGCTCAAGATCTTCACTTCTGGATCCAGGGATTCTACATTATTCAGCAGTCACGGAAGTGTCAAGTTTTATACCAGCGCAGTCCGCAGAAACACAAATGCTTCTAGTATGTGTCTAAAGGCTCATTAAGATTATATCAACCACAAAGTCCTACTGATAAGTTTCATAGTGTCAAAGTAAACAGAATAGCCTACACGAATAGAGGAAAATCGAGTATAGAGATTTTTGGAGTTCCTCACCATAACATATCTTGAAAATGAAAGTAACATGGAAGGAACTGTTCACTCACCACCAACAACAACTACACTGACCTTACCACTACCTCGTGGAGGTAGAGAGGTTATTTACGAAAGGCCTTCTACTCAAGTAATGAACATGAAATCAATATGAAAACAAAATATAGAAGTAAAGAGGACATTGTACCCCTTCCATCCCAAAAATAATTATCAAGTTTTGCCTTCTCACGAGTCAGCTTGATTAATCTTCATACTAAACTGAATTGAACTAATTCAATATTTTAAAACCTAAAATTTAGATATTCGAAAAGTATACTATTGTAAGTTGCAATTCTTCTCATATCTAAAGATATCTCTCGTAATGTTGGTCAAAGTTCATATAATTTGAATTTCAAGAAGCAAAAAGCGATAAGTATTTTAGTAGGGAGGGAGTATATGCATATTACTCTTTTCTCAAAAAGAAAGGAAACAATGGAGCAACAGTAAAGTTGTCTCCGTTTGACCTATAGGTAACAGATGCGAACTGTGAAATCAGCCTCTTACATCACACCCCTTGGGGCGCGGTCCTCCCCTCTACGGGCTGCCAATTTTTTCAATCTTTCCTCAAAAACCAAAAATCAGAAATTCAAGAATGTTAAAAGGAGTAAATCTTAAATCAAAAACAATATTTACCTCCAACAGCATTGATATCCACACTTCCAAGGAGCTGCTCCTTCCACCTTCTCAAACTCTCATCATCCTAAAAGCAAACATTGAATCAAATCAAAATAAACAACACAAAATAAACATTAAAAAGAAATAATAACAACATTTCTCTTTTCATTTCAAGAAACTCAAAAGTGAAGAATAAAAACAAACAGAACATTCAAAGAAACATTTAAGAAGGAACAAAGATGCAATCTTTTTATCTTTCAAGAAAACAGAAACGGTGAAATGTTTATCCGCATTGTGGCCCAACTAAATCAAAATTCACATCGAAAGTCCCAAGACGATGTAAAGCATTCCCTAACTAAGACGAGTCTAAAGATGCAATCTTTTTTATCTTTCAAGATAACTAAAAGGGGAGAAAATGTCAATTATCCACAGGACATCTAAAGCGCTCCCTAACTAAAACGACTCTAAAAATGCAATCTTTTTTATATTTCAAGAAAACAAAAAAAGGGAATCTTAATTTCTTATCCTATATCTGATATCCACGCTTCCTCTGTTAACCAACATGGCTCAAAATTCAAGAAATATTAAAAACAAAAGAACTCAAGACACACCTTATCCTTTTCAAATGTTTCTTTGAGTGTACATTGAGGACCTAACTCAATCTTGTGATTAGCTTCATCATCATCCTCTTCATGATCAGTAGTATAAATAGAACTTTCACTCATTTGCCTATTAACCCTATTACCCTCATCAGTACCACCACCATTCTCAATCTCAGGGTCAAAATCAGCCACAATTCCCTTATTACCCTCACAAATTGTTGCTGACCCTTCTTTACCTTCTACCTTATTATCATCAAACCCCATCTTCTTGCTGTTTTCACCAACTCTAACAGCCAAGGACATTAACAACAACAACAAAGAACAAAGTATTCTTGGCCAAACAAAACACAAAAATGAATATAAAGAAAAGGGCTTTTTTTACTAGTTTTTTTCTAACTTATAACAAGAAAAGAACAGAACTAGAAAAACCCAAAAAGAAAAAACAACAACATTGAAGAAAGGCTAAAAAAGAAACCCCCTTTATAAAAAAAAAAAACAAGATTTTTTTTTGGATCATTGTTGAAAAAAAAATGATTTTTTTTTTAAAAATATGTTTGGGTTGTGAGAAAATGGTCAAAAGTGTTGTTTACTACAATGGTAAGAAGAAAAAAGACGCCAAGAAAAAAAAGTGAGAAAAATAAGGAGGGATTTGGTTTTTTTAAGGTACAAAATGGAAATGGTCTTGTGGTGATCCAAATATTGTGAGAATAAGAAATTAAAAAATATGAGTAATAATATAGTCTCGTTTTCAATTTATTTTTCTCGTTTTGATTTGACATGAAATTTTAAAAAATAAAGTATATATTTTATCTAATAATATTAAACATGTCACGTGAGACTCACTTTGATATTTATGTTATATTTTCCTTATCAGTATTGTTTAGTCTTCTTTACTTCTGTATTATCATGCTAGCTGATTTAATATTCCTTATTAGAATTGAAAGTTTTTTATAAATAATATTTTTATCTTCTGAAGTTAATTTTAAGATGAAGATACATTTACCGTCATCGAAAAAGAAAAGAGCTATGTTATTAAATTATAAACTAAGAGAAGAGTAATAATTATTAAATTTTATTTTTTGGTATAATATAAAGATATAATTATAAAAATGGTGGAGAGATCGTGAAGGTCACTTAGGAGACAGCTTAAGATTGGGTGTAAGAGAGGAATTTTAACTAATTTTTGGACTTCTTCTCTCATTGGACAATTATTCCTTACTTGAGGACTACGTGCATCTCTTCTACGGTATTCGTATCGAGTCTCGATTAATTTAAATTTACGTGATATAAAATTTATTTAAAAATGCAATGTAATTAATATGTATATTTTATTAATTTAATTGAAAGTAATAACTTTTTTATATTTGTCTTGGAAAAATATAAAGTGAATTGAATGTAATAAAATGTTATTGTCAAAAGATTGTACATTTTTAATATTTATGAGTTATGACTATGGTCATTTATTAATTCTCTAACATAAATAACTTCAGAGAATTTATTATTGACACAGACATATACATCAAGAGAAAATTAGGATTTTATCTAAACAAACAGTTATTTATTATTAATTATTGTTGTTATTACTATTTATTTTTGTTGTTGTTATTGCATGACTATTGCAAATACGTTTTTTTTTTTTGGGAATTTCATAATTTGATATAATGAAATGTATACATTAGCTCAATTAGAACATGTACAAGGTTTTACTATTTATCGGTGTTAATATGTATTTTAAATAATGCGCAATTGAAAATATACATATAATCTTTTTTAATATTTAAGCAGAAAATTCAAATAGGAATACGGTTCAGATGCTCAATTGAAATAGGATGTAATTTAAGTATTTAAAATGAAATTTATTGAGAAGTTTAAGAAATTATAAATGTGTTTCGTTTTTAATATTAGAGTATATTGATTCATATACTTTAATGGATAATTCAAGTGAAATAATTTATTGAACAATTTCTTTGACTATATTATTGTTTCACTAAAAAATAAATATTTTTGAGCTTGGTACTGGATAAATGTTCGAAAATAGTATTATGAAATAATTAGTAGGGTAGATAATAATTTTTTGTAACTTACATCAATAATAATAATCTTGAGAATAATATAAGAAGATAAGGATGAGTAATTACTTTACGTGATTGAATAAATTAATGGGGATTTAGAATTATTTCTATACGTGTTATCATGATTTTCTGGTATATTCCCATCGATTTATTTATAATTATGATAATTAGCATGATTAGTTGAAGTCATTGAGGAATATTAATTATGATTCATAATAATTCACGTTAACATAATTAAGGAATATTGTGGAAACCTTTCTGATTTCTTCTTTACTTCTTCTATTTCCTCAATTAGAAAAGAAAGTTGAGACTTGAGAGTTTATCGAATATAGCTTTTACATCTTAGATAAAATAAGAATAAAATCTTTCAATACTTTACCTCTTCAAACTCCACTTACGCGATAATTATAATTTATATTGATTATGTTGTTTAATATGTATATTAAGACTCGACTAATTTAAATCATATCGTTTGAAAGAGTCGCAAAATTCTATTTTGATTATAATTTCAAGATTATAATAAACGATGATAAAAATCGAAAGACTTTATTTTGCTTTTCATTATGGCTAATGATGGTGAATTATGTTGTTGGTGGTCAAAGAAGTACTTGCTAGACATGACAAATTAAAATTATAATGTTGTCATTAATGGGGACAATCATTATTACCATGAACCAATACAAATTAGGGCTCTTCTACGTATCGCAAATATAAATAACGATAATTATGTCTCAATTTCAAACAAGTTTTACGTTCAAATACCATCGTAAGTACCATCTCTTTAAGAGATAAAGCAATCGGTGCCCTTAATAGCATAAATTGGAAGAACAATACATGAGATTACGCCACAATTACTAGTAACTCAATATATTACAAAATTGTGTATATTCCCATTTCAAATGTTAAAGATGAAATTAACATGTAGCTGATGAAACAATTTTCTATATTTCGCCAACCTAAAAAGAGTGATGGAAAGTGGATTTCAGGTTTAATAGTCTCGAGAAGGTATTAGCCACCGATGACTATACTTTCGTAGAAGCACCCTTTTTTCCTCCCCACACTGAATGAAAAAAAAACAAGCTAACAAAAAGCACTAAAAATATCAGAACACAAGGAGAAGAAAAGTACTTGCTAGTGAACGAGTGATTAATCGCTTCCCCATTTTCTTGCTACCGTCTCTTTGGCAGAAACACGAGAAGGAACTTCTTCCGGAGATATGGTACCAAAGCTGTCTTGGCTAGCAGGATATACTTTTCTCATAATTTGTGATGTTACAAAGGTAAACCCATTCCTTACTCCGCGTAGAGTGAACAGCAGAGGGTTGAATATCACAGCAAGCATCACATCTCCTTTTGTAACTATCAAGTACTGCAAATTCAAACACGGTGTATTGATGAATAAGAGACAAGTAGAAGTGCGGAATAATATTATAAGTTGAAATCTTATAAGTACCAAAGAAACTCCTATCCTTCTGTTTCTATGAAGGTGTTTGGCTGAGCACAGAGTTTCAGTAAAACGGAAAAATATTTGAAGTTTGTTGTCTCAAACATCCCGTGATGTTTATGTGGTTAGGATATAATTGGAACATATCATTTTGTTAGGAAGAGACTAAGAAGGAAAGTGTGTTACGTAAAATAGCCTAGAGGGAGTATAAAGAATCTTATATAATTGCTCACCATGACAATAATACCCAAGATAGCAAGGGTTGCTTGTTGGGCTTCCTGCCAAAAATGGCCATCCTCCGAGCCACCAAACCATCTACGCCAATTAAACCAACCGCCTCCGCCTGAATTGTCTCCTCCACCTGCTTCCTCCCTTCGTTTAATTTCTTTATCCCATTTCTCAAACTCAGTTTTCTTTCCTCCCAAAGCACTTTCTAGAGCTTTTCTAGCCTCGTCCTGTTTATATGAAACAGCACAACACAGATAGGTAAATAGACCTGACTGAATAAGATAAAACATAAAATAGAATAGGGAACTTCCACTTCATATGTTTCACGTAGAGTCGCCTTGTTCAAATTTTGCAAGCATGTGAAATTACTGCTAAATCTAGAAGCCTTGACTTGTTCCCAAATATGGCTAAACTAGAATTCTATTTCCTCTGATTGCTAGAAACATCAATTCGAAGAAAACTTCTGTGTAGCTCGTGTCTACACCAAGATGTTGCAAATTGGAATTACTAAGCTCATTAATTTCTGTTTGTTAAGTCAAAAAGTTATTACAAAGGTACATAATCCAAGTGAGATAATGCCCGAGTCTGAAGGCGCATGACCTAGAAATGCAGATAGGTACTTTGAGTCTATAAAGTTAAGTATGGCTGAAGAAACCTTGTGAATATAATCCTAAAGGCGAAACACACAATTGAAGTTGTACACTCCTTTTCTAAGGGTTATCACAAACCCAGTCTCTGGTTCATTTCAAGTGAAATCTATGGAGTGAAACTTATGTACATAACAGTGCCAATGTGGAGCAATCTTCATAAAAGCTAACTCATATCGATCAAACAATCTGCTCTTTGCATTTATGGAGCCTTCATCAGAAAAAATTAGTGAGAATGAATTCTTAGTGGCATTTCTGACTTTTTTATCTCTCTCTTGGAAGCCCCAAATCAAGCGAGAGAACAACAACAGTTTCTGGTTATAGTGAACTAGGCGAAGAACTGAGAATAGTGAGAATAACTCTCTTCTAAGTTCTATCTTTCTCCCATCAGACAACTATCCATCCAACAACTACAAAAGCATACCTTTCTGAACCGTTTCACAGCCTATATGAGTGCTAATGATCAGCAATAACTTTGAAACTTCCTCTTGCAATTATAGTTTAGAAATTCTCACCCTTATCCTGCATCAAACCCACCAGTGCTGAATGGAAACGTATGAATACCACAGAGCAAATAGCTGGATATGGATAAAGCCACAATGTCTACCCTCAGCCCCTCACTACTTCCACACAATTGATTGTTCTAAAAGCTATCTTTTATTTCAAATTTTATTTAATAAATCCATGTTTCCTGAGCTATTGACACACGGAAGAAGAAGATTATGAAATGTTCTGAACTCTTCTTTTTATATTTAGAAGAAAATATACTTTTGTGTCTGCAGGGAGAGTGTTCTAAACTCCTCTTTACTAGTCAGACTAATAAGAATACAACATAGAAAGGAGATTCAAGATAATGAGATCTTCCAATAACCTTAACTCCATGTATAGCCAAGAATCTAAGGCACAAATAAATTGTAGGATGCAAAGAACTTCAGGTCAGGATATAAGAAGCATCTGAAATCGATGATCTTTCAGAATGTCATATTCTGGTTTTCCATTTGGTACATGACTACTACATCTAATAGATAAACTAACACAATTCAACAGCTTTG